TGGATTCGACAGAAATTAAGTAACGGGTCATGGTTTAAAGGGAAAAAAATGAACCAATTACATTTTATAGCTATAGAGCTAATTTCATGTGGTAAGTTAAAGGTCTTGGTTACTTTAATTTTTTGATTACTCTCATTTTTCTAAATTAATTGCAAGCGTTTGTAGGTCTCCTGCAAAAGCATTTAAAAATTATTATAAATCATTCATTGCTCATTAATTATACCTGAAAACACATTTTCATGAAAATCCTTTTGGGCGTGAGGACAAGGGGAGGAAAATCTTTGCTATACAATCTCTGCATATAAAGGACTCTAAACTGGTGTCTCGCTACAATTTTATATTCACACTTCTACCTAAAAAAATGCCTGGAAGAGACTAGGGAGATGTTTCTAAGATTATCTATGATGCATTGTGTTTTTGACAGCACATTGCCTTTAGTCAGCCTCATTATTCCCTGTTGCTAAAGTAGGCCTTTAATACATTAATTAAGGAAATATGATAGTGAAATCCTTAAAACTGTCAGAAGGACTCAGGGGAAGGTTTTATACCTGAAATAATTTTGGCTCCTTATTAATTACCTAAACTGGATATCAAGATCACAGTGTCCTCTAAAAGTCAGCACCCTTAGATTTAGTGACTTTTAAAATAAGAAACTCCTGGAAAATTCTGCCATGGTATTCTAGATTTCTTTGCCATTTAGTGAAGATTATAAAACCACTACTTCCTCAGAGAGAAGATAGTGGCCAAGTTCTCTCTTGCAACTTTACTACAGTATTACGTTTAATATAGTTAGAAGCATGATTATGGATGCAACAAAATTACGAGACTGGGGAGAATTTAGGCCAGAGGTGATGGACCTCAGACAGTCTGGTGTCCAAATTCTGTCTTAAACTAGCTCTCAAGGGCTACATTCCAGTTGTGGGCAGGATCATAGGCAAAAGGGGAACGATCCTAACAAAGAGTGTGGCCCGGGACTCAGGAGATCTGGGATCTAGTCCCCACTCAGCCACTCAGACAAGCATAACAGCATAAGAAGAGGAGAATTATGTAAGCCGCTTTGAGTTCCTTGACAGGAAAAAAGGACAGTATATAAATATAATAAAAATAAACACCAGTAAATTCTGGCTGAGAATTCTTAGGAATGGCATCGCAGCCTTTTAGAATGGGGGATACAATCTGCACAAAAGCTGGGAAGCCACCAAATGAAAAGCAGCTGGGTTAGGAGGGCTGCCTTTGGATCCTAGGCCTGAGGTTGCACACCCCAAATCGAGACTTTCAGGCACTTCATGTTGGGGTCCTAAGTCTACATGGAAAACATTCTGCAAATGTCCATTTCATGTAGTCTAACCAGCGAGATCTCATATCTCAAGGCTGGAATAGGCATCTGGGTTTCTGTAAGCTCCCTGCCTGGGTTTTAAAAAGTTTTAATAGGCAAACATGGACTAGGTTTCGAGCTATGGGGCAGCATATAAATATAAAAAGTAAATAAATAAAATAGAAAGGAATTCATCATGGTCATGAAATCACATTTAGAAATGAGTATCACTTTCCTCTCAATCTGGAGAGAGACTTCCTATTCTGAGAGGGATTTTCACAGTATAATAACTAGAATGTATCTACAAAACTGTGCATATATGTTGGAAAGTAGTGGTTTTGATTGAGAGCGTGCAGAAAGTAGACTAAATCAGCTGTACTGATTTAAGTCCCAGAGATTTTGAATTTCTCCTTGCAGTACATCTGTTTCCAACCTGTAAATTACTAAGTTCATAATCAGTTCTATATAATATTCTGTTTATTGTAAAACAAACAACAAACAGTTTATATTATTGTCAGGCCTCACCAAAAGCAAACAAAGCAAAAACCCCACCAGAGTTACATTGAAAATGACTGGCTTCCCATCCTTGAACTCATACTTTGCCTGGGAAAAGAGCAGCACATCCTGTACACAACAAAGAAACAGTTTAATCCATTTATATGCATGGTTTTGAGATTTAGTCTTGGAAAGGGGACAGGGACTTTTGTTTTCCCAGGCTCAGATCTCTTGGGAATCTTCAGAGTTTGTGAAATTTTCATTGGGAGTAAACAAATGCCTGCAGAAACTATGTGATGGTCACGAAGTGCAGTAAAACTGAGTCATGATTCTCTTTGTGTTAGAGGAAACACTGCAAGGCTGCAAACTGTCTACTGGCCGTACATACGCTCCCTCAGACACTCAGCTGCAAATGGAATTGAAAGGAATTTCATAATGCGCATTTCAAGAGTCAAGGCCAAGTAAGCCATGACTGAGAGATCTGTGAGTAAGATCACCTATGCACTATTATTTTATAAGCAGCCACAGAGAGGGGTAAAGGAAGGAATCGCGTGAAGATGGCAGCTTTGTACAAAGGTGGGTTAACATTTTGTCGGTGCATTGTTTTCCCAACAGAAATGATCCTTCCCTCATGAAGCTGTTCGTTGCTCACAGAAGAAATGTACACTTTATGTATGCATGTACAAGATTTACGCACTGCTCTAATCTCCATTATGGAGAGTTCAGAGCTGCGAACAAGACAAGTTATCAGAAGAGATCTGTATGTTTCCCACCATGGACCCAATAACGACTTGAAGGGAAGCAACTTTAACTGGGAAGTTGGGAAGGCAGAAGACTCAACCTCTCCTCTTCCAGCGCTGCAGTCCCAATCCAGTTTAGCTCTTCCTATGGGTTTCTTAGCCACAGAGCAGCAGTGTAAGCAAAAGTAGCAAGTCTCATGATAAAGAGTAACCAACTCTGTTGTTTATCATGGCATCTTGCAGATAGGATATTAGTTATGTGAAGCAGAGAATAGATCACAAAGCTCTGTTAAATTCCAAAACGTACATCCCACTGTTCTCAGAAATCCAGAAAGTTTTCATGCTGTAGTCTGTACAGGCACAGTCCCATCTGTAGCACTGAACAGAAGAATACCTGAACAAAAAAAATTATTCAGAAAATTTAAAAGTAAGAACTGCAACAACATGTTGCAGTGTCTAGCGGTGTTCTCCAGCATTTCCTGTCTTCTTTGCCCTGTGGTTTTGTGTGTTTCCTTCCAAAGTCAGTAAGCATTTCACAGCAACTGAGCATTCTGGGACTGTTTTGAGGTTCCCCTTTTCCACCTCTGAAGATTTCTTGTACACCAAAGAACTTTGGGATTACCCCCAAGTTTGCTGATACACCTTTGTGTGGGTGAGTGGTGCCATTTTGGCTCAATAAATAATGGCACTAACGGCCTGAATATTGAAAATAGGGGGTATCATGGGAAATCTTTATGGAAGATCTTGTAAGGAAAATCTGTAAGAGCCTAAGCTTCCATGTGTGCAAGTGCTTTTGGAGTTAATTGGCCGTCTGGTCATATACAAGGGTTTGAAGTTAGTGGGGCTGTTTATAAGGTACACATTCCTAATTTAATTTAAGAAGAAAACTCTCGCTACTATTAAGACATTAGTTAATACTACAAGGTTATTTTGCTTTCTTTCTACCATGTGGTAGATTAAGTATGTCTGTTTCACTAGTTCTCAAGCAATACCTCAAAAAGTATCTTGAATTCTATAATCTTTTCTATTTTATTGTATCAAAAATGTAATGCAAATAACTGTGTATTTAAATAATCAGCTTGAATCTCACTCTTGTGCATAAATCACTGCTTTTAATTTCTACTTCATAAATAAAAGAATTGTATGGCTGTACTAACCGATTTGCTTCCAACCTGCACTGCAGTTGCATGTGGAAAGCATACTAATTTTTGCTGAGTATTCGCTTTTACTGTGTATGTTTTGCTCCTTTAAGAAGGCTTTATATCCCCTTTTAATTCTGTAGCCACCAGGCCCCTTGCCAGCTGGAAGAATTTGGAGGGTGTTTGGTCAGCACTGGGGTTTGGAAAGCGTGAGATAAGAGGAGTCCCAGTCCTACTCATCTACTTAGTCATGCATCTGGTTGAAGTCCACCCACTAAGATGTGGCTTCAGTGCATCAGCGAGGGCTCGCCTAGTCACCAACCTGATCCCACAAGTTCTGGAGTGAGAAACAGGGTTTGCTCTTGCCTTCAGAGTCAGCGTCCTGCAAGGAGAAGGTACGAGGTGGGGAAACAAAAGGTCCCTGGAGCACACAAGAAAAGAAGAGCTGCTGGAACAAAAGCATGTTCTCACCACACTTCCACAGACAGCTAGTTAAGGAAAGAATTAGATTCTGCAAGGCAAAGGTCAGCAAATATACCATTAACTAGGAAGCCCTTTCATCCTCCAGTTGGAGCCCAGGAGTCCAAGTCTTGGAGAATCTTGATGAAATGGGCAAGGGCTAATAATGCCTGCAGGACCACTCTTGAGGTCAGAAACCTCGTGGACTATCCAGACATCACAGCAGCAATTCACAATCAAGAGAAATGAAAGGCAGCAGAATTGAGAGAGCTGTTCTAATCCCCTGATATTGCTTGGGAGTTGGGATTTAGCAAAGCTGCCCTTCCACTTGCCTACTGGAGAAGGGGAAAACGCCCATGGAATGGCGGCAAGCTTCCAGCGGCCGCAGCAAGTGTAAGGTTCCCAGCACCAGTCCCCAGGGGCAGAGTGGGGCCGAGCTGACTCTGACTCTTGTCCCCTGACAGGGGCTTAATCCAGGACCTGGCATAACCTGCTTGATCAGTACTCCTACCCCTCACAATGCTTTCAATGGGAGGATTTAAAGTGAAGAGCTCTGCAGACTGAACTCTAACTCCTCTCTCCACATGGACAGATAGACAGATGGATGGACAGACACACACACACACACACACAATCCCTTACATCCTGCCATCCGGACCCCACTCAGGATTGCTTTGCCTGCTCCCTTTCAGTGTGGAACCAAATTATGCAAGAGCCGAGAGGTGAAAAGTTCCATGTTTGGCAATCTTTTGCACAACTGAAAATTAGTCTTACTACATTTTAAGTACTATGCAATACATAGAAGAAAAATATCATGTTCTACACAACAAAAAATAAACTTAGATCACCTACCCAGCTGACACCCAACATTCCAGAATTCCTGAGGATTATAATTGGAAGAGTTGGCTCGGATCCCTTTGGGATATATTCTTGTAAGAAACCTGACTGTATGTTGAACGAATTCATTACCTACAAAGAGACAGTATTCAGATTTATACTATTGATGGAGGAATGAAAAATTGCAGAGCTAATAAGACCCAAGGATATATACATGGCTATGTGCATTTTTCAACTATTCTGATGTCTACTTATCACAAGTTCAGGAATGAGTAGTTACAGAAACATTTACACTAACACATTTTCTTAAAGCAGTTTTGCTGAATGTGTTTTTGTTTAGATTTGTTCAGTATTTCTGGTTGTTGTTGCTGTTTTTGTTTGCCTGTTTTGCGGGAAGAGACGAATGTGAGGCCCCAGTCTGTATCAGCAATATGTTCTGGATCAGGGCCCGATAGCTGCTTTTTCTTCCAAGTAAAAGTGCTCAGTTCATGTGACCAGTATTGCTAGCTTGCATTAAACTCAAGCTGGTAGGGTTCAGTCCTGAAGTCATTTTGTCAACCATGATTAAAACAGAATTTTCAGCATGAAAACAGAAGCACACTAAATTAAGTTTCATCATGGGCAAACACTTCCAGGGACTCCCAATCTTTTGGGTCAGTGGTACATTTGGAATATTGACCATGCGTTATGGATGGGCTGCTAGAAGAGCAGGCATTGCAGGGGAGCCCCAAGCTCCACCGGTCAGTGGAGCAAAATTACACTTACGGATTTAAGTGTCTTGTCATGTTTTTAAAAAGCAGGCTCCATGTATTTGCCTTTTCATATATTGTTTAGCTTGGGTAATGTGTAGGTAACAGCCAATTAACACAAACCTTTAGCTGCAGGACCCATGGGGAGTGCCAGATCAATGTCTGAGGCATTTCACTGCCTGCCAGCCGGCCTACGGCATGCTGCCTCATAAAGTTTATTGACAGTAGTGATGGCTTAAGCAAGCGAAAACAGCGGCAGGATCAGCTTTATCAAACTCAATTGCAAGAATTACCTTTCAGTTTTGCCAGCTTTCGGGCTTTTGCCTCACCAATTGAATTATTTTCATAAAAAAGCTGCTTTTCTCTCGAGTCTTCAAAGCTTACAAATTTCCGAGATTTGGTATAAACCACTAGTTCTGACAATGCCAAGGCAATCTTTACTTTCTTTTTCTGGAAATAGAATAAGAGACAGTTGGAAGGGTTGTTTTAATAATCTTTTCAACTTGGCATCAACAATTATGCCAAAATGTCAAGTATTTTCTCTTAAAAACACTTCTGGGTAGGAGATTATGGAAATATGCATACTGATGTCCCACTTCTCATCCCTGTAGTTCAAAATGTGCTTGTTATTCCCCTTCCATCTTCCATCATCGCAACATGGCTGCCTGAGGATTTGAACTGGAATCTTCCCAGTCCTAACCCAGCTCTCTAACTCCTACTCCCTAACCAACATTCTTACTCTTAATATCTATATCAGGGGTCTCAAACTTGCGGCCCGTGGGCCAATTGCCGGGATGGGCAGGGCACGTGGGAGGGGCCCTGCAGCCTTCAAAGTGCCGGCGGCGCCCAGGACAGCCTCCGGGAGCGACGCGGGATGAGCGGCCCCCCACCACCATGGTGGTGGAATACTTGATTCGGCCCAGCCTCACCCAGACTCTACTTCCAGCGGCCCCCAGATCAGTTGAGTTTGAGACCCCTGATCTATATAAAGAGGTCTGCATCCCTTCACACTAAATGCAGTGTGGAATATAATGGTTTAATGCTAAGGGCACACATAAATCAGCAGCGTGGACTGTAAACTGGAAAATCCCAGCTCAGTTATTCGGCTTAAGCAAGCACCATCTCTTAGCCTCTTTCTCCCCGTTAGTAATATAGAGATTATTACACAGACCAACCTTGGAAGGTTATCAGGACTACTGAAAGAACATTGTCTCATATATATATAAATTAACTTCCCACTTCAGTCAAAAAAGTTTCCCAGGACAGCTTACAAAGATCAGAAATAAGACAGTCTGTGCATGCAGTCTTACCATCTAAAGGACACGGTACAAAAGTAAATGATATTGGGGATTGGGGGAAAGAGACAAAAGCAAAGTTAGGTCCTCGATTCTTAGTTTAAAATGCAGCCTCTCTAAATATCACAGAAGCGCTTCTGGTGCCTCTCCCTCTAGAGAGGGGCTCTTAGCCAAAGCTGGATTCATACATGACGGAAGGTGCCACACTGGTGCTCCCTTCCCCTCCACATAACCGTGTGCTAGAAAAACTGGGTAGTAGATTACTCAAAAATTGCTGAGTATCTTTCCTGTCAATGAACAAGAAAAATCCTAAATATGTTGGCCAACTTTCAGAACCTGGCACGTGTTGTCATTTCTGTGGAAAGGAAACTTCTGTGTACACACTGGGAAGAGCCAGTCGAGAACTGGGCAGACACTATTAAATAAATACAGCTGAGACAACTGAGATGTCTTACCAAAGGAAGGAAGAAGAAAATACGGAATTATTAGATGGATAGTATCTGGCCGGACACCAGCACTTCATGGAAAAATCAGAGGCTGTAATGGATGACAAACTGAGCTTGATTCAACAAATCAGTTTTAACCACATTTTATATCCTTCCGTTCCTCCAAATATCTCAGGGTAACATGCATGGGGTTCTCCCATTTTATTTGCCAAAGCACACTGTAAGGTAGTTCCTCTTACTTTTTTCCCCCAAGTTTTTGCATCTTTGCTCACCCCCCTCCCAATGTCCCACATCTTTGGGGTGGCTTTTGCTGAATTTGATGCAAAAAGCTAAGTTGACTATCCCACACAGCACTGCTTCACACACCTCTCACTCCAAGGCAGCTCAACAACTCTAGGTTTGACTCCAAAGGAAGGTGATAAATACTTCCTAGCAGTGAGTCCATTCTATTTGTACATCCAGCTCCACAGTGTGCTATATTATGACTGTATTACTGTTACTATTTTCCTTGCAAGTAACTCCAAACAGCTTCCCTAATTCTCCTCCTCTCTATTTTGACCTCACAACAACCCTGTGTGGAAGGTTAGGCTAAGAATCAGAGTCTGGCCCAAAGTCATCCAGTGAACTTCATGATGCAATGAGGACTAGAATCCAGATATCCCAGGTCCCATTCCAAAATTCTCACCAGTATGCATTGCCGACTATCGGTGGTTCTAACCTTATGACCTGTTTCTTTGGGTTCTATTCAGGAAGCAGCAATAATGCTGGGCTACTGAAGTTTGAATTGAGCACCATGGCTCAAGGATGCTGGCAACATAAACACATCTCAGGGGACACCTTGTGAATGATGGATAGATTTAAAAAAGGGGGTAATGGTGTATATATTACAATCAGACTAGCAACAAGGCTGTAAGAGAGAAATGTGCATTGGCACATTTTAAAGAACTTTATATATATTAGATAACAATATTGTTATATGTTGAAAGTATCAAAAATGAAAGAGCGGGGAAATTGGTTATTCTAACCTGCAATTTCAGGAGATATTTCCTGTGTACCTCTGCCCATACTACCGTACTAAAAATTGTACAAGTATGGATAAAATGTTAATATGTGAAAAATGGAATACCTGCTTGATGAAGACTGATTATTGATTTTGCTGATGAGTCACATCATATGAATTATCTTTGACAATTTAAGACACTTCCTTTGAAAAAGAACTTTTCTAATCCCTGAGTAGCAGAAAGAGCTTCTTCCAAGGTAAATTCTTCAATTAAGAAAGCACTTTTGATGCAGGAGGGTGAATATGACCTGATATAGGTGTAACTGATACTTGGTGGGATGAAATGACCCCTGGGACTGGAGTTCGACAACTCAGGGATCTAACTTGTTCAAGGAAAGAAATTATAGAAAGGGAGGCAAAGTTGCACCTTATGTTACAGATATCTCTTCACAGAAATAGGAACAGGAGCTTAGCAACCGTATCAAAAGCATCTGGATTAAAATTAATGGAGGAACGAATAAAAGGAAGATGGTGGTTGGAGTCTACTGCCAACCACACAGTCAAGAAGGGTTGAGCTGAAATCAAGAAAATGAAATTCAATCAGGACAAATGCCAAGTTCGGCATCAAGGAAAAAGAAACCAAATGCACGATTACAAGATGGGGGATGACTCAACAATACTACAAACAAGAAGGATCTTGGAATTCATAAGCTGTAAATGAGTCAATCAGGTGATGCAAAAAAAAAAAAAAAAACAAAGGAAAGACTATGTTTGGTTGCCTTGATAAAGGCTCACTTCCAAATCATGTGAAGTACCAATTCCCCTCCATCAGCACTGGTTAGGCCTCATCTTGAGTACTGCATCCAGTTCTGGGCACCGAAATTTAAGAAAGATGAAGATATACTGGAAAAGATTCAGAGGAGGACAACAAGGTTGATCGGGGACTGGAAATGAAGTTCCATCTGGAGTGACTGAAAGAATCAAGCATGTTTAGCCTTGATAAGAAAAGAATGAGGGGCAACTTGATAACTTGAGTTCTCGAAAGGTTGTCACACAAAAGGCAGTGTGACTGTTAGCGCAATAGGACAGTAGACCAGATTTCCTAGGAAGGCTGTCTGCTTTCCCACGCTGCAGGTGTTCAAGGAGCAGCTGGGCAGCCATCTGTTAGGTATGCTTTGACTTGGAGTCCTGCACTGAGCAGGGGTTGGGCCCAATGGCCTTCATTGCCCCCACCCCCAGATCTACTGTTCTATGGCTCTATAATCCATGAAGATTCGGAATCTTAATTTCACATTTCGGAATCATACTTTTTGCTTTTTCCGAGGTGGTGATGAATGTTTCCAACGTGCTCGTCTCTTCTTGAGCAAGGGTTGCTTTGGGTGAGAAGGGTCATCCTCCAGCTCTTCGTCACTCGTGCCCTCCTCTTCAAATTCCCCCATCTGGCCATGGCTGTCTGTGCCCTTTCTTGCAAGCGTTTCTTCCAGTGTTCCAATTTTCTTATTTTTTATCATTATTTTAAATTTCAGTGCCTGAGAAAAGAAATTAATTGGTATTACAAATCATAAGCCACATGAACTTATGACTCAGAAGATGGTCTCCAAGGCCATATTTGTTGTCATCTAAGTAAGTGCATGGCGTCCGGCACAGCTCAGAACTGGGTTGCTGTGAGAAACTCCTCTTATAACTGACCTCCCATGTCACTGCATTCTGTAGGTGCGTCACGGCCTATAGATTTTCTTTTCAGAGTGCCATGGAGACGGGCCTGCTCTGCAGAGATGCCTACTCTGCGGAATGGTCTCCCCTTGGAGGTGCGTCATGTCACAGTGCTGGTCCCTTTTAGCCATGCATTGAAACGCTTTCTGCTTATTTTTGTTTTTCCCCAGCCATGAACTATCCTTAAACCAATCTCATGATACTATTGTGTGAATATGTAACTGTGTGATGGTCTGTTCCTATCCCTTTGTGAACTCCTGGGGGATTTGTTTCAAATGAGGAGCAGAACTTAAATATCACTAATGAATAAATTAGACCAAATCAGTACATAGCATATGATCATTCAGTCCCTCTCAAAAAATTTGGAAGATTTCTTTAATCTGTCCTAAGGGTACTGTGTGCCTGCCTTAACAGCGTTATTTTTATAATGCTACTTACATATCCCAGTCCAGAGAATGAAAATAAGTTCTAGCCAGGCTGAGTTTCCAGTATCAGGATGGAAACAGATTATTAAACAGATACCTCTTGCATTAATAATTTTGCTCCAGTTCAGCAAAATAAATTCATGAGTGGAAATTTTTCCACATGGGGACTCGCTTTTCTGGGAACACAGATGCCTGCTGCACGAGGAAGGGAGTGAGCCCAGGAGCAATGCATTCGTAATTCCAAACTGATAAAGGAACTTGTTCCTCCTATTTCTGCTTTCTTATTGCTGCTCACATTATTCCGCAAAGGGCCTTGGACACTGATGCTATCGTTATCTGTCCTAACCTCAGGACTCATTGGCAATGTCTTCTCTGTGGTTCTCATTCCATGGCTCTCTGTGTAGGAATCTAAAGGCCTGTGAAATGGTGTACATAGGTACGCCATGCTCATGTGTGTATCACTTGTGAAATGGTAGCATGGAATGGGCTGGACGAAGGTCTGCAGCGTGACATAATGAATGCTGATATTTAGATTGGCATGCATGACAGTCTGGAAAGTCACAAGAGAGGAACCCGTGCAAGGAAAGAGTCAGGGGACTTTGGAAAAATGTACAAGAATATGAGAACAATCAGGAAGTCTGAGTTTTTGCTACAACATACGAAAGTTATAAGGAGACAAGGGGATAAACAAGTGACATGCAGATTTTAGACTTGTGAATCAGTTTTCTTAACTTTCCAAAACTGTACACAAATTTAATCATACAGAAATAAGAAAAAAAACACTGAGCAGGTTTGTGCAAAAGCACATTTTTGGGCATACATATTTGCATAAATGCACACTTTCTAATATCCATGTTTGGGTAAATGAGAAAAATCTGATTCTGTCAATGAGTGGATAATGGAATAAAAGACACTGACAGTCCAGAACATATACTGCATGGATTTCATAAAATCCTTACGTGCCTATTCATGATTCCCTCTAGTAGTTGTTAATACATTTGATGTGCTCTATATTCTGTTAGCTAGAATCATGGTGCCTTTCCTTTTTACAAATGTCTACTATGTATGAGCTTTAAACACACACTCTCTCTCTCTCTCTCGTTCTCTGTGTGTGTGTGCACGCATGTATTTCGCTCAGCAGCCATGCTTTAGTGTTACATGCTTTGCCACAATGACACAATTAAAATAAATTCTTCCAGACACAAATTCTTCCATCTAGATGGGGAGATTTTGTCTCAGTTCAGTCCAAATAATGCAAGGCGTAGGTGTTTGCCAGACACCTAGACTACAATTCAGTATAGTTTTAGCTGTGCCTAAACCCCCTAGATTTGATCAAAGCTAGTTCTGTTTTAGTGTGGTCCTGAAGTAGCCCTTAATTCTGCACAATTTCCATTTTATTAACAACCCCACTTATATTTTGAAACAGATCAGACTTCGGATTAACTCCCAAAATACATTTCACATTTAGCGAGGCCTCTTGGTTACTGATATTGTTCAGTAATTCAGGCATATGCAGGACTATGTTAATGCAATCCAGGGACAGCAAAGTCAACAAGGGTTTATGTAAGCCAATATAAAAGTTTAAACATGCAGGTTTGTCCACTGTATTGTTTAAAAAAATAGAGAGAAGTAATTGGTTAAGGCCATCTCCTTCAGCAGTGCATCATTAACATCTCTACACCGGAGTACTATGTAAGAATTTTTATGGAGATAATTTCATCATACATCTGCTCAGCGGTGCTGTTTTTAATTGCAAAAAGGGAACAAATGGATCAGCAGAGAATTACAGATATAAAGCAGAACTCCTGGGAAATAACAGCATCTTGTTCAAATTTCTTGAGTTCAGGTGAAAATGGTTATACCTAACTAAATGCACAGTATAACTTTAAAGATTTGTTGTAAATTGATTCACTCTGTATAAGGACTTGTGGAGAAAATTCCAGTCATTATAAAACTAGAGTAAAAGCCCCATGTTATCTTCTTACTCCTTTTGCACTATAGTATCACAAAGTATATTCATTTCTGCATGCCTGTTTTCTCCTTATTTCATATCTTGTGCAAGCTAAAATTCAGTTACAGAGGTGAAATAACCTATTCTACATATCTGATAAGCCTGATTTAGATTTACCTGCATTTAAGGCACAAACTCTGACATGGCCATTTATATAAGAAAATTCAGCGAACAAGCTGCTGCAGCTGAAAACATTTAGCAGGTAAGTCTACAATCACTGTGAGCAGCAATACAAAAGCAAAGGTATAAATAGGGCAGCAAGACTGCTAGCTCACATGTCCAGTGGTGCTGGGGGTATCCTTAGATGCACGTGTGCTCAGCCACTGCATGAACTAAGCATGGGAACCAAGAATGTGTGTGTATCCAGTTACCTGCCACTGCTACTATTCTGGCTTCAGATCTCAAGAACTGCAAGTCACAAAGTATTTGCACATGTCTGATTTGCAATGTGTTGGTTTCTGCACATGCATATGGGGAAGCATGAGTCCTGGGAGATGTGGCAGTGCTGCTGAAAATGACACCGAATGGCTGAAAAAAGGAAACGGGGAATTTGTGGAACCTGGAGCATCTCATCAACAGTTATGTGTATGAAATACTTGGCTCTTCCAAATAGTGCTGCTTTAAAAAACCATAAGGACGCAGTTCTCATCTGGCGCAAAGGTAATGTGTGAAGGTGTTTGGTTCCACACTGCTCCAGAATAGCTTGAGCAAAAGCATGAGGACCAGCTAGGCTTATCGAATGAAGGAAACACAGCAAGTGCAGCAGCCTCATCCAGCAGAGAGACTCTCTCTCTTTCTCTCTCTCTCTCACGCACACTTGGGGAGGGAGGGCAGGGGGAGTGCCAGAGAGAGAGAGAGAGAGAGCTTATAAGCATTTTGGGGATGCATGCTTCCCACATAAGTTGGGTTTTATTTGTTTTTTCAATAGGCACTTGAGTGCAGACTAAAATTGCGTAAAAATGAATAAAAGCTTTTCCTGTGTTCTCAGCCTTGGGGTAATGATATAAATCATGACCGTACATACTAGAAGAGCCAAGATCTTGCATGCAGTATATTGCCGTGTTTCCTCACTGTGTTTCAAACCTCTGACACATGCCTTTTCTTCTTAACAGGGGCCTATTGGTTATTTCCTTTGGTTTAATAACACTAAATTGAAAAGAATGCATCCCAAATCCACAGTGGTGGTTGTTGTTGTTCTTGTTGTTATACATTTCTATACTACCCAAGAGCCAAGACTCTCTGGGCAGGATGTAACAATTAAATTCTGCTTCATCAATTGAAGAGGAAAGATACTTAACTGCAAGGGGAACTATAAACTTCCTTTCTTCATATTATCTTGTACAAGAGAGAAATGTGTTACTTGTTACCTCAGGGGAAGGCAGCTCATCTGGCATGATGTCACCAATTGTAGACAGAACCAACTGGTCACCCAGGATCCCTGTCAGATGATCCGCTATTACTTCCTGCTGCCTAGGGCTGCAGTGATTTTCCAAAGACAGTATCAGAGGATAATCAGAGGCCTGGAAGAACAGTTTCAAAGCTAGCGTGATTCCTCGTTACACAAATAAAGACCCAACAGAACTAATATGAAGATATTGCAGGACGTCTGTATTGTTTTCCACAGTAAAAACACAGCTAGACAAGTGAGCCTCATTTTCTATAGAAGGGTAAAATCCACTCTTCTCCATAAAAAGAGCAGAGAAAGGGCAGAAGCCATGCCTGAAACCAACAACCAAGCCTGCCCCTTGGGTTTACTGTACTCTGCTGCTTTATGGTGTTTTCTCCCTACTCAGCCTGAGAAAATGTATTTTTGAGCACCCAGTTATTTGCTGCTCTTGTTGTTCAAAAATAAAACACACTATCATCTGGGCTTCCTTCTCTGTTCAGTGAGACAGCACAGTACTTTGGTGCAGCTTTCCATGCTCCGTTTCCCCATGCAAGAGGGAGAGTGGTGAGGACAGAGCAGCTGTGCAACAAGAAATACTCAGCAAACTTGTTTGGAAAATGGCGGGGGGGGGGGGGCATCATTCCTGCCTCATAGACCACTTTTTTGACCAGAAGCCTCAATCTCACACATTTCTGTTCACCAGGGCAGAGAGAACGCACTGCTGTGCTATTCTTTCCTCTATACTTGGATTTATTCCTTTGAAAAAAGAAAAAAAAGCACGGTGATAATGTGGGGGAGCAATGACTTCATGACAACCTTGTGAGGTTGCTGCATAAAAGGTTGGATAACAAATCTTGACTATTCCAGAGTAAACTCCTAGCGTGGAAGCAACCTTGTACGCCAGCTGATTTATCTCTGCATCCTCAACCGTTTTCAAAGAAATCTCTGCTTTTGAACTTTTTGCAGTTGTACACTGGCATGCTCCACCCCCTGAAAGAATCCTTTTGGGGGGGCATTGCCCCTGCTGCTGTCTCAGATTTGAGATCAGAAATAACAGTAGGCATTCTACAACGGGCACGCATTAACAGCGGGACTCCTGCTGCTATCTTAGATCAGAGGTAACAGTGGGGTTGTGTGCTAAGCACTGAATCTGTTCACCCATGGAGAATGCGGCCCTTCTTCCCATGCATGAGCAAGTCCCAGTGCTCCTCGTCCCCACAGTTGTCTCCCGTCTGAGATCGGAGGTAGTTGTGGGGATGAGGGATGGCCTGGGCACCAGGACTCACCACCATGTGGCCACAGCCCCATTGGAAAACAGTTTTCTGTCTCAGCGTGAACCATTCAGATCCTGCTCCAGGATCTGCAGCACCCTGGCTTTTTGCCCCATGGTGTCCACATTACTACTGTTCTGCTTCTGCTTAGGTGCAGGTGTGTTGGGTGCTCCTGTTGTGTTGCAAGAGATGGACCAAAGGACATTTATATCCCTTCCAATAAAGATTCTGTCATGCATCTTCATTGCTTTTTCACAACAGGAAGATACCGTGTCATTACTGTATTTATTGATGACATTTCTAATCTTCCGTTTATCTTGCAAGATGTTCAAACCCACTTCCAATTAAAATTCGATAGAAAATATTAACACATTTACAATGCAAAAATACAAATTGCAATCGACCATATAAATAAAACACATTTAACATTCAGCAGTAGGGACCGAACTGGCCTTGGGGCATGAGGTTCTTCATTCCTGAGCTAAAGCCTCAACAAATGTGTCCTAGTGTTTCCAGCTGAGCAAAGGCTGTGTCCCCAGTCACCACCAGTAAAACCTCCAAAGGCATCTGAAGAAGTACATCAAAAGAAGAACCTATCATTTCCTGACTGAAACCTCTTCCAACGCTTTTGTTACTCATGTACCTACCAGAAAGGCATATTTGTTGATCACCTGGATGACAGTCTTAAAACTGATTTTGCTTGTTAATGTATGTCCATGATAAACCACAGGTTCACAGTTTGGTCCATCCCAGCAGTCAATTTCTAAGCAGCGACATCCTTTCAGTAGAGCACTTCAAAGAAGAAGGAAAAAAGCAAGCTACTGAGAAATGAACATAAAATGCTGCATTTGTTAGCTTCTTGGGTCTGATTCAAACTTGTACCAGTGTGATGGAGACCTGTCATAGAATTGTACAGGCGGAAGGGCAAACTACAGATATGGCTGTTCCTTCTTCAAATCTATACCCAAAGCTTACATGCCAGGGAGTTTAGCCTATCATGGACTGGAATGATACCTGAAGGAGATTGAGATGCATGGATAGAGTACCCTAAGCTTTTTCTATACCCTTCTGAAATGGCACAGTCAGATGACAGGACTATTATTACATGCAGATATCATGAATCCTACCAAAGAGGAGGGGGGGGGGGAGGAAAGGAAGGAGAAAATAAAAAGCTTTCCTCTATAGCATTGCTAACAGATGTAGTGATATAAAACATGATGATGCATTACATTCCATATTCCTTCTTCCTTCTTTGCAAAACCATGTGCCATTTTTAAGAGAAAGTTGTCATTCTGAGGCCACTCAAGGGACCAGGATACTAACATGCCTGCCTCAAAGATACTTCAGAGAAAGATGTTCTACAAACTGCAGTGGGATTTGAGAGCTGATCTACATATACAGAAAAAAATCATGAGCAATACCCTTCCCTGGAATGTATCGTAGAATTCAGGTGAGGGAAATTACATATTTGAATATTCCTGCTTTAAAAAAAAAGTCTACAAATATAAACAGCACATCAGGGAGAAGGTTAGACTAGAGCAATTCTCTCTGGCAAAGAAGAGAAACAGGTGATGGAAAGAGGCTTACCAGGGTAACTTTCAAACTTGCAATCTCCCACTTCTAGTTTGAAGATGTATCAGTGTCAGATTATTGGTGTCCACAGCCTGGGCTCAGACCCAGAGGGCAGGGAAGACAATCCTAAAGAGAGTACTAAAGATGCTTGCCATGCAAGGCACTCCCACAGGACAAGGGCCCTGGGACCCACCACTGGTGGAATTACCTCTACCCTGCTGCTATCACCTATCACCCTGCAGCCAGAAGTAATAGGTGGCTCTTCAGCCCTGTAGAAGCCAACATCTGAGGGATAAGGCATGGCTAATTTAAATCACAATAGCTTTTCTCAAAAGATGCTCAAAACAAGCAACGCTAGAGACAAACCCATGGCTGTGTGATTATTATGGTTCCTCAAAGGCTGCAGGGAGTTGCTGAAACAACATCTTTGGCTTGCTTTTCTGAGCTTCCTTATATTTATTTTTTTATTTATTTATCGATTTATATCCTGCCTTTTTCCTACAAAGGGCTCAAGGCAGCTTACATCTCCTCCTCCATCTTATCCCCACAACAACCACCCTGTGAGGTAGGTTGGGCTGAGAGTTTGTGAGTGGCCCAAAGTCACCCAGTTGGCTCCATGGTCGAGCGGGGACTTGAACCCAGATCGCCTGAGTCCCTGTCCTATGCTCTTAACCACTACACCACACTGGCTCTCTTATTCAGCAGAGATTCTCCACAGGAGGTTGACTGCATTTCTCACCTCCTGCAACTGGCTGCTCTCTTACTAAATCTTGCCAGGACTTGTGCATGGGTTCAGCATGAAACAGGATATATGATCTGCAAAGTGACCAGCACTGATAGGCCCCAAACCAACCCCATTCCCACGTAAAACTGACCTCTGGCAGACAGTTCAGAGTCATTTTAAACACACCCAGAAAGAGAAGAGGCAGGGGACAGAAACATTCTTGTCATTTGATTCCATTAATCTAAATGCTAAAAGGGATTGCATGAATATTTTTTCTTTGAGCCCCAAAGTATGCCAAGGTACATAAACCTCAAAACCACTGAGTTTTAAATAACTTATGCCTGATCCCCTTGAACTAGGCTTTTCACAAGGTTTGGTTGTCCTGCACGGGCTTCTGTCTGCAGTGCCTGAGCATTATTTTTTTGAACATGGCACCAGTTTGTAATGTAACATAACTCCAACTCCATTACCAGTTGCCTTGAATTCTTGCCTGATTTCAAAAACTGGAAAATTGATTGGTGTCCATTATCTTTTTTCCATTAACTTTACATTTCTTGCTTGCTGTTATTACATGCCATCGAGTCATCTCCAACTTATGACAATCCTATGAATGAATATGTCTGATCTTTGACAGTCCAGTTCAGCTGTTATAGACTCAAGGCTGTGGCTTCCTTTATGGAATCGAACTATTTCATATTTGGTCTTCATATTTTCCTGGTATTATTCATATTTCCCTGGTATTATTATTTGTATATTGTGGTTTGTATATTGAGCTTTACCAGTCTGTGGGCCATCATTTTTTCCATATTTGTTGGTATATTTTTATTAGGATTTGGACTGATTCAGTCTCAGCATTTAGGAGGAGTTCTGTTGGCACTCTGCCTACTCCTGGCACCTGACAGTTAGCCATGGTGGGTAGGTTTTTGTACAGCAACCCACCAGATGACCATTAGGAAACACAACAGGACTGACCTGTCTGTCCCACCCCCCTGCCACAATCACAAGCCCCTAATCCCCACTGAGGAATTGAGGCATTGTCCAAGTTTCCCACCCTATGTTCTAAAATATAGGGGATACCTATATTGTTGTTGTGGGCACCCTTCCAACATTGTAGTGTAAAGGAGTGTGGGGAGAGGTGGTACAATCCCACCATCCCCTTTTAGGAGCACAGATTACATGCAAAACTCGTATCACTATTCAGTTATTAATTACTGAATAAGAAACCATTTATTTTAGAAATGTATATCCTTTACTCCAGATCAAATCCCAGGTTGCAAACTCAGTTATTAATCTGTCAGAATAAATTGCATCTTGCTTTGCTTTATGTTTGTGTTTTTGAGCATGATGTACTTTCTGTCATGTCTCTTTGCTTTTGTAAACAGAATGCTAGGAAACATTTACTTAACTTATTCTATTTAATAATCAGTTTAGTTAAAATGGATGCAGGTACCTTGCATAGCCCCACAGGTGACTTGGCCCTATTAGCTGATCAGATATAAGGTACGTGTTGTGCGAGGATGAAATAAAGTATTCATTTAATGGACGGGTCATATCCTGGTAAACAGTTCTGTGCTCAGTTTTAAATAATGCGCAGTCCTCAGAAGTCATGTATCTTAGAAATCCTTCAAATGTCATCTCACTGTTTCTCTTTGCTGAAAGCCAGAACATTACAGAAGATGTACAGAAAAGTGATTTCTTGCATGGTTACACATAGAATTAACACAAATTTGAAAATATTTCAGAATAATTCACGTATGAAGGTTTGGGTTCTTTTTGATATTACATACAATTCATATTCTGTCTGAAAGGAATGATGTAAGGTAAATTATTTAGTCAGCGCATAGTATCATCCAACATTTGCATCATTTCAGAAGGTGACTTGCATATTTCACAAATTGTGGCTGGTTCATGCCATGGTCAGCCACAGCTATCCAGGCTAGACTACTGTATCATGTTATACACTGGGCTGCCTTTGCAGAATGGTCAGAAATTCAGAGTGGCACAGAATGCACTTATCAGATTGCTAATTGGGGTTATTATGAATTTAGTACATATATTTTTAAAATCCCACTGCCAGATGTTCTTTGCAATCAACCCATTAGCAGTAAAGCTGCATTATGGAGCTATTGCCCTTATGTCCTGCTCATTGTCTTTCCAAAGGCACTTGCTACTGCGGGAAATAAGATATTGAACAAGACAAGCCTTTGGCATGGCCCAGAATAATTTTTAATAGTGTTATAAATTAAATGGGTAATGACCAGAGTAAGGGCCTGCTTAGTGATGGCAACCAAACTGTGCAATTGCAGCATCTGGCAATGTCTGCCCTTTTCTCCAATGACTATAAAACAGTTTGCTTTTTAACTGCCCTTTACAGTTTTAATTGATTTTACCTGAAGGTTTTATTATTTTCTACACCTGCTTTCCTGATTTTTACTATTATATATTTCTTGTTTTTAGTTTTGTTTATTGTAAGCCAACTGATAATGTGGGATAGAAATTTCATATAAATTCAGTCCATATGTCTATATACACATCCAATGGTTCCTGAGTCAGATGAAGAGCTATTGCCTGTAAAAAGAGCCCAAGTCCTAATAGATCAGACAGGGTATGGACAGCCAATCTCTTCTGCATTGCGAGGAACCATTTTATTCTCCAGGCAGTAGTAAATTCTTGCATAAAATGACACCCTCATAACTAGTGAAGCTCCATAATGAAGTTGCTGCCTTCTAGCAATAAGAACTTCAGTTTACTGTAGGCTGAATGATTTCTCAAAGATTCCCACCACCACCCTGAGTCTATAGATGTGAAAGAGACTGCTAGGGTGAGTCAGACCAGATGAATAAGCTCAACCTAGCATATGTGTAAATTATCTGACTTATGGCTGTCCTCCACAATAGCCATGGCTGTTCTTGAAGAGGGTGTATCTTTCTCTCCCTAAGGAATGAGCTAATCTAGAGGCCAGTGAGAATAAACAGAAGCAAGCAGATACTTGCAGTTAAGGGGCAGATTCACACAAAATCAGGCTGAGGTCAGACAGCTCACTTTGCTTTCAGGAAACAACACCACTCCACCCCAAGAATTCTGACAGGAACCATCAAAACCTAGAACAGCAGAGTTGGAAGAAGCCTATAAAGCCATCAAGTCCAGCCCTCTGCTTATTGCAGGACTCCAAGTTAAAGCTTCCTGATGCCTCCAGCATGGAGAGCCCATGACCTCCCTAGGTAATTGGCTCCACTGACATAATCCTCTCACAGTCAGGAAGTTTTCCTAAAGCCAACTGGAATCAGGCTTCTTGTAACTTAAGACCATTATTCTGTGTCCTGCATTCTGGAATGATCAAGCGATTTTGGCCTTCCTCTATGTGACAGCCTTCCAAATATCTGTTTGGATGGTAATGCTGTGAATTTCCACCTGTTTGATGACTTGTACATTTGTACATAAACCAAGTATTACAAAATGCTATGAACCTTCAAAGATGACATTCAAAGGTCATGAGTAATGGGTAAACACTTGCACCCCTGGTGTTTCCATCACTAGGAGTACTGGTTTTATATAATATATATTCTGCTTTTCTATATAAACACACACACAAAAACTGATCACAAATTTTAGAAACAGTAAATGCTAAATCAATACACTAAACTAAAATGCAGCACATCAGCACAGATTTATGAACCACAGGCACCAGGGCACAGCCTGACACACACTCCAAGAGATGCCGTGTTATGTACGGATTGTTTTTGCTGCTGCTGTTGTTGGTACAACAATTTTCCTATTAAACTGGACAAACACATCATCAGACTATGGTTCCAATTTGGTACCAGGATGCAAATACAATTGCTTGGGAGTCTGGCCACCAGTTTACCAACTCTGAGTCTAAATATTTATTTCTAAATTGGCCTGATTAAGTAATACTTAAGCACTTGTGCCAGATAAGCCAATTCATGTTTCATGCAGAAGTCCCACTGGGTTTGCCAGAATGTATTCCTTAGTAAGTGTGCCTGTGATTGCAACCTTAAAACTGTACGTTTCATGTGCTTATCAATGGTGCTAAAAACTGACTTATAATTAGCTGCATAATGCCCTCTAATTCTAAAATAGTGATAGTTTTCATCTTTATATCTTCTTTGTGACAGTTTTGGTTTCTTGCAGCCACTGAGCATTTTCTAGCTCTTAATTGTATCTGACACCCAAATGCCCATGTTTTGAGTCCAAAGAACATGTTGGGCCTAAAACTTGTCCTTTATTGTAAAAGAAAGCTGAGGGGAAAGGAAAATAGGGATCACTGAAAACATCTGCTGCTCTTTAAATAACACACAGCATTCACTTTTATTTTTTATAAGGGTATTGTCTTCCTGTATTTGGCATGTACATAAATTTTGCTCATAATAATCCTCATGGGATCCCTGCCATATTTAAAAAACGAGTTTCACTTTCATCAAAACAGAGGACCACACAGAACTTTTTTTCATAAGGAAACTGTTCACATAAATCAAAGTAAAAGAGGGTGCACTGTGGAGCATCATTAAGAATGAAGCCAGTACTCCTAGGTGCAGTACATCTACATAGCCCCACTTTGGACTGTAATCTTTGGACAAACTAGAATGTTACAGAATGCTGAGAACCAGCACAGAATGAAAAGTAAACATATATCATCTTGAAATCAATGAACCAACATCCAAGTAATGTGTTTAGGATCAGGATGTAATTTTTCCTCTTAAGTTGAATAATGGTGACTATTTAAAAAGCACAATTCTCAGGGATCAAATTAAGATATTTGAGTGATTTTCTAACATGTGGGAACACAACAAGCTTTGCCTTTATTGCATTTAATATTCAAGCTTACGTTTGGGACTGGGGAACTTGAGAAGGGGGAGATGGTACCACTAAAGAGCTGTAAAAGGGAGGGGAGAGTATGTATTCACAGCATGGCAAAGTGCTTAGCCATCTTTATTTCTATATAGAATACATTTTATCTTTACTTCTGTTCTTCCCTTTGATTCCAATTACTTCTGCAAGCCCTTTGGGAAGAAACCATCCTTTTCAAGGAGAAACACTGTTCTGAATGTGAGTCCCTGGGACAAGCAGGCTTTAGCTAATTAAATAACCCAATTCTTTGCTTTATTGCAAAGTGGCAACAGAACATACATTTGGAATGCAAAGCTTCTAGAAGCAGAGTATGGTACCTCATTCCCCTTGGCCAGTGCTTCAAGCAGAACATGCACTAACGTCACTGTTCTGAATGTTCAGGAGACTAACCTACCTAGCACAGAACGAGTATGAGGTTGTTTTTTTCAGGTCCTGAACGGCAGCAAGGGCAATGGAACCAACTATGAGTCTTTCAAATGCATGAAAGCCATGAGGTCCCTAGCACCTACTTGAGTGTGTGCCAGTGAAAAAGCAGTAATAAAATATCATGTGATATTTAAATATCAAGTAGGACCCAAAGCATGACAGTACTTAGCAACACCTCCTTAAACATCTAGGACAAAATGCTGTTTTAGCTGCTTCAACTCAGTGCTGCAACTGTCAGATCAGAAAAGAAAAATGATCTGCCCATTTTGGCTCCTTTAATGGGAATGCTACTTTTGAGAATCTGCCTTTGGCTCCCACAGATGCATGGAAGTAGTTTCCTTGCAGGCCTATTCCATGCAGCTGCTATCTACAAAAAAACTATGCTTCTGTAGGTAGAATCTATCACATGGATCTTTCCTACCCAGGCAACTTTTTCCCAAATCCCATTGGTGTAATTCTGTATTTTAATAGAGATTGTTTAATGTAGTAGTGCAGGAAATGAGTGAACTTCTGGGTACCAAGATGACCTTTCAAGTCCAAAAAACCCAAGACACACATTTTCTCCCACCCTCTCTGGCCAGGATAAACTGCATCAAATGTACAAAATAGAATGTTGTATGTGTTTGTACACTTAAAAAACAACATCAGTCAATCTTATCTTGACCTAACTTTCAGAATACATTCAACTTATACCAAGAAAGCTTCTATTCAAAAACTGTGTGGTGGGTATTCTGAAATGGGTAGCACTTCATGAAACCACAAGCATATGACCTAGTACATCATAAATCAATCCCGGCAAGTGGTCATGCTACCCATCCAAGATCATAGCCACTTTGTTATTAATGACTGTAATTTAGGGCATAAAATGTATGTAAATGTCTGATATGTTCATATAATTGCACATATAGTGAACAGGAAAGAATATATGTGTATTTAATTACAAGTAGCAGCTACAAAAAAGATCTTGTTATAGTAGATGGGAAGCATGAAGCATCAGACTTTCTAAACCTTAGCTTGGGTTCAGTACTATGTAAAGGCAACCCAACTGTGAATTGGTCCAAGAGGAAACAGTCTATTTTGCAAAGTGCTAGAACAGTTAGGGAGACTACTCTGCATTGAAGCGTGCAGCCAGACAGGGTTACAATCTGTCTGCAGGACCAATCTGGGAGTTTTCCTGGACTTAGCAAAAACTAGAGAAGCTAGAGTGGTTAGGAGTCCCTTGTATCAAAATAGACTGGCATGGCAAAAGTGATCTATTCTGCATTAGGATGTCCCCCATAAGGCAGCCTATAACTATTACATATAAATATGCATTTTGTACCATTTTGTATAGCACTCTTCTGTTAAAAAGCAAAGCAAAAATAGCTTCTTGAATGGGCAGTGTAACCCATTGCTCTTGCCGGCAGATATATAACAAACCTAGTAATCCTATAGCACATAGACAGTGTCTAGACAGTCCCAGGATCTTTCTAAGTCCCAGCTGTGATGCTGGAGCTGGAATTCCATGCAATGAGTGCCCTCTCAACAGAGGTAACGTAGAAAAATACACACCAGCTGCTGCTCTGACATCACAAGTAGGGATTTACCCTCCTACTCTAAATCACCAGTTACAAAAACAGCTGTTAACCTGCTTCAGAAGGCAGGAAGCCACTTTGCATTCCTCCAGCCCTGCATAGGATGCCCATAATTGTCCTTCGTTTGAAAGGTTATGAGCAACCCTTAAGATTGTGTCCCTACTAGCTTGTTTTACCTGTAATTCCATGAGACAGTATAATCCTTCTGTTTCCAAACTGTTTTGATTTTCCAACTGGTTTAATGTTTTTTACATTTTATGTTATTACTCTTCATTTTGTGAACCATGTTGAAAGCTATGCGTATTGGGTAGTATAGAAATGTAATCTATATAAACAATACACATACATTTTACCTATATAGAATTGACAGGGTGCACAGTGGCACCAGAGGAATAAATGTTCTGTCCTAATTATACTATACTTGATTACTTTCACAGTATCCAAAAGTGAAAGGGTTTTGGTTGCCATTAGAGACATACTTTTAGTCCCCTTATCCCATTAAAGGATTCAAAAAGTCAATGGATTCTCATACTTTAAAATAATAATTGCATACTTCTTAACTATATTAACTTGGGCTATTACTACTGAAGCATTATCATTTACATCCCTCCTTAGTGTGTAAATTGCTTTCTAATCCTTAATTAACTCATTAATAAATAGCTGTCTACAATGGGTTTCAATATTACAAATAAAGACAACTCCGCTACTACACCAGCCTTTGTTTAATCTAGCATACATATGTTGTTGAACACTTAGATAAATTCATTTCACTTGGGACAGCCTCTTGCAATATATGTCAGACTCCATTATGATGCAGACTACTAATGAATTATATATCAGGATGTGTGTCTGGACCAGATCCAACAGCAGCAACAACTGGGTGAGAAAAGGCCTGAGCCTCCAAGAGCCTCTTCTGCTAAGAGCCCAAGAACTAGGGGCTGCTGATATTGAAAGGGTTGATATATAATACATAACTATAGTTCAGTGTAATGAAGCCAAGCTACAGCAAGCCCTAGGCTACTGCATGACTCCACCGCCCCACAGACACACCTTCCCAGTAGGTCTTCGTCAGTTTGGATTAACCACAGCACAGCATGTCATCCAAATGCTAATGTGCAGTTCATCTTAACTTCAGCGTGTTCAAACAAGCCCACTTCATACCCCATTGTTTGAAACTGTCGTGCTGCAAAAAGTTATAGTTAAGATTAACCAGTTTGTCAAGTTCAAATGAAACATCAGGTGGTAATGAATCAAATGCAAACAAAAGTTCCCAGATAGCTCCTCATGAACAACCCTAAACCTCACTGAGGCTTGTTCTTGTAATGCTAAGGTATGGTTTAGCATTACATGCAAACAAATTTATAGCCCCCAAAACTCAAGAAGCATCCTGTTCAAGGAGTGCAGATGAAACAAAAGTGAAATCTTTAGCATTAAATGTTTTACAGTATTTGGTGCACATTTACTTAACCTAATTTCTATCCCACCTTTGATCCAGAAACTCCCAAAGGCAGATTACATAAAATAATACAACATGGTAACTACTTCTGTAATATCTAATACATTACACTACAATGGGATATAATGGTCTTCATTCCCCCTAAGACTGCAAATCTATATTTAAAAACAACCACAGAACTTTTACTGTCCAAAGGCGTGAGGAGGAGGAGTCAGATGAGATGAGATTTTGCTAAGTACACTGCTGATAACCTTTTGTTTATAGAGATGGCGCATAAATGTTCCAAACAATACATAAATGTGTATGACCAGCATGTGTATTACCTATTGAAACACTTTTAGCATTTTCATAGTTATAAAAATATAAACAGAGTAAATTAAATAATACATAAGGTTTAACTGAAAAAATACATTGCAAAGCATTACAATACCAATTAAAGAATTTATTCCCTGCTCATCAATATACACTCAGATGGATAAAACTACCCTGTTTCACTAATGGTAATTTATTATGTTCTATTGTATTTCAATGTATTTTATTGTGTTGTAAGCCGCCCCAAGGCTTCGGCAAGGGGCGGCATAGAAATGTAATAATAATAATAATAGTAATAATAGTAATAATAATAATAGTGTCTTTGATCTATATTCTATAAAACTATCCCTCCAAAATTTCAGTTATTTGAGCTGTATTGCTGTTGTTTTCCTTCAAGTTATTTGCAATTGGCATTCTGGCTGCATCACAGTATTCAATTATTAAGGCTAAAACCCAAAAGAATGGCTACTGGATTCTGAGGTAAAATATATCCACTTATTTTCTCTATACTTAATACCAAAGTTCAGGAATCTAACATAACTAGACAGTACAAAAAATTAAGAACTTCTACTCCTTGAAAGCTGATTCTCCAATAAAGATCACGATCTAGATTATAAATCTGTTTTGTGTATACATAGAGTTAGATGCCACTGATAATAAACCCTTTACAGGAAAAAAAAATGTTTAAAATTAACATATATTGCACAAAGGAATCTGTACTAAACCACTAAATGTACTGTAAGCAACATCCCAGAGACTGAAACGTAGTAGTAGCTCATGCCAACAGAGAGCTGAGGAGTTCTGAGTGGAAGAGAATGCAAAATTATATTGGTTCTCTACTGAGAAGTTTAGGTGGGCTGAGTGATATAGTCTAGGTTTCCAAGACAAAGCCATCAATTGTATGTACAACTGAACTGAATGGTAGAAAACATACAAGAAGCTGGATATGAAACAACCTAATTTTTACAAAGGGAAACAAACTTATTCTTGTGATATCAAAATCACCAAATTTAGTGGCAGATATTTAGAAAAAGCCAGACAGGTGATCCATACAACCAAATACATTGTGATCAGTAACTGTTTCAATTCTCTGTTCCTTTCTGTACCTTCCCCTCTGTCCTTCATTGTTTGCTTATTAAAGCTTTTATATACTGTTCATAATTAGCCACAGTCTCTCTGAATGTTTTACATTAAAAACTACTTTGCACATGCACATGGTAGGCACGTCATGAGTGGAACCAACTGGATGGCAAGGAAGGCCCCCTCTGACTTGCTTTGGTTCTATGTTTCTACTACAGATCACCCTGAATTTCAAGATGGGTGACTTGAGCCTCCTATTAAACTGTTCAATCAGCTGATCCTTTCTGAAGTTGGTCTCTTTCCTTCATTTATTTTTATTTATTTATTTAGCAAACTTATACGCCGCCCCATTTGCCTAAGCCTCGGGGCGGCTTACAAATAAATAAATATAATTAATACAATAAAATACAGATGGAAACATCCTGGCCAAAGTTGTTAAAATCAATAAATAGAATCAACAATTAAAATAACGTTTGAATAAAAAGGTCTTGGCCTGGCGCCGAAAAACAAATAACGACAGCGCCTGGTGGACCCTCTCTGGGGAGCGCGTTCCATAGGTTGGGCGCCACCGCAGAGAAAGCCCTCCTCTGGGTACTCACACTCCTAATGTCCTTCATGGAGGGCTCCCGGAGAAGGGCCTCTGCTGCCGATCTCAAGGGGTAGGAGGGCATCTATGGACGTAAGCACTCCTTTAGGTAACCAGGACCCAAGCCGTTAAGGGCTTTATAGGTGATAACCAACACCTTGAATTGGGCCCGGACTTCAATGGGGAGCCAGTGAAGCTGACGGAGGACTGGAGTTATGTGAGAACAATGCCCAGTCCCCATCAGCAACCTGGCAGCTCTGTTTTGCACCAATTGAAGTATCTGGACCGTCTTCAAGGGCGGTCATTATTTCTTTTGAACATATAATCATATATTATGTAGAAAGAACAAAGTAGATATAATTTCACACAAGTCATATAAGATGGCATTCTCATGCACATTTACTTAAATAAACCCTGGTAAGTTTGGTGGGACTTATTTCCAAATAAATATACATATGATTACACTGAATTATGCATGTATTTAAAGATAAAACTATGTATCAATGAATTACAAATACAAAGAAATACATTATGTAAGGATAATTACAAAATTAAAGATCCAGAGTACCTTCTTCAATGGGCTCATATTTGGCAATGAGTTGACAAGCAGTACTTTCATCAGCTTCAGTCTGAAATTGTTCATTTCTAAGAAATTCAACTAGATTTTCTAATAGCAGGGTTTTATGGTTCGGAGAGTGAGTTCTGAAGAGTTCATGAATTTCACATCTGTGTGCTATAGCCCGATAAATTCCTCTAAAATCCTCTATAGTAATAGTTCCAGACTTCAGAGAATCACTTGCCTACTTAAAAAGAAGAAAAAATGAGTACAGGCAGATGCATAACAAGATATACACAGCATGTTTCCATTAATACAAAAAGAAAAACAAGGATACATTTTGTGAAACCTGCAGGTATTTCTTAGAATGCAAGTTTTTATTTTTAAACTTTCTCTGTTTTTCTATTACAGAAATAAAATATGTGAACATAAGAAGAACCCTGCTGAATCAGACCAAAGGTCCACCTAGCCCATCATTCTGCTTCCAGCAGTGGCCAGTCAGATTCCTCCAAAAACCCTGCAGCAAGGCATGAAAATGACTAGTGGCGAGATACGCCTTTAGAATATATTAAGACACAGAAAGAATTTTCAGTATTTCCAGATCTTATAATCCAGCAGAATAGGCCTTTGGGATGATGAGGATCAAAAACAGAGAAGTATCATATAGGCTAGAGAAAGAGTATTTTGAACTTTTCTCAATAGAAATGCTTTACTCAGACATTATGAAATGTAAGGTAAAACACTGTAGCTATTACATCTCTGGACTGCAGCAAAGCAGACCTGTAAAGACTCTGCAAGGCAAGCCATCATAAAACTGTCACTAAAGGGTTTTTTTTCTTTCATGTTGCAAATGATGAACATGCTATGTGTGAAAATATGTTTCTGGCCTACCACAGCCTTGCAAATGAAATTTTAACTTTATTTGCAAGGCTGTAGTAAACCCTTTCTAGCCATTAAATGTTTTGTAAGTTTCAAGGTCATGCCTGTTACAACTCATGGATATAGCCAAGCATACCTGTATGCTTTTGGACAGGACTGAAGCTAGACTAAACTCATCTCATAATTTTTAAGGTTTCTGTCAAGTAAAACTTCCATCACAGTTTTTTATTCAACTCATTCAAAACTACTGCAGCTAAAGTTGGTGATACTACTTTGGAGTTTGAAAATCCAAAGTAACCATCTTACAGAGAGTTGTCAGAAATGACAATTCTGGTGTTTATCTTGATTGGGCCAAGTGTAGTAGCTAATAAATCCTGGCAGTCTGACCCCTAGACTGGTATTAACACAAGTCTTTTTTCCTCTTCAGCACTTTAAGGCTATGTGAAGGTCCATATGCTCCTATCCTTTCATCTGCTTTCCAAAGGAATTGTATAAGAGGTAACTTAGACTACTGTTTCCATTTTGTTTTAGATTAAATGAAATAACTTGCCATAGGTGCTTCACACTGCTTACAGCACATTTGTATTTGTCTACTCCCTCCAAAGCATCTACATTAAGAACCACTTCCAGAGAGTGAGACATGCTAGTCTGCAGCAACAAAACAAAGAGTCCTGTGTACATTAAAACTAAAAAAAATACATTATAACATAAGCTTTCATATACTAAGTCACTTCATGAACACATTCTACCATCTTGGAAAAATGCACTGGGTCAGGGAATTCTCTGGAGGTGTGGCTGTTTCTGAGAAGAAAAAAGGCAAGTTATGTACAGTAAAATAGGTTTACATTGTCAGAGCAACCACCATTCAGTGCAAAATTTACTCCCACAATTATAAAAAACATTTAAAAATGCATCAGGTATTTTCAGTGGAAAACCATGCATTCCTGACTCAAAAATAATGCCTACTGAGCTCACTTGGAATTATTCTCAAATAAAGGACCCCTAATTACTTCAAAAAAAAGTATCTAGCTGAAATCCCACTGAAAAAAATTAAAAATTCCAATTCTCAAGAGGCAAAACAAAGTGACTTATTTGGGTTTGTCACACAAGGAAGATCTTAGCTCAAAGCATGCAACACATAAAAAGGTTTCTACCACTGGGGGAAATATTTAATGTGCTTATTATAATTTTTATTTTACAAAAGGGGTACAGAAAGAAGTACATTTGAAAAGATTTAAGTAAAATGTTTCCTTTAGTGTTCAGTTTAACTATTTCATCTAAGCAACTGACAGCTGTTATAAAATATATTTATGTAAACAAGCTATAGAAATATGTGTATTGTATTAAATAATGATACATTGTTACTTTTGTCACATTCAGTAGGAGACTGGAAGAAAATGAATAAGGAATTGTATAACAGACTTCTACCGCAACACTTACAATATGAAATGTAAAGGAAAAAAGACACCTCTAACAGAAACATTCTCTTATACAAATATGAAACCAAAATATACTATTCCTAACTTGTTGCATATATTGGACAGTAGCCAAAGAAGTCTTCCTACTGATAGAACTGCTTCCATCAGCAAAAAAGTGGGCAATACCCCCTCTCCTCTTCAGCCATCTCAATGCACCCCCAAAATGTGCTACAGCTGGTTGGAGAGCCCTCTGTAGCACATTTGATGATACAGGAGGGGCTGCAAAGGTAGATAGGATACAGTCCTGTTCTGTGAGCTAACTGTGTGACACTGGTTTTCACCCATAGTCTTTGTCAGACTAGTAGGACATTCATAAAGAAGCATGCTGATGAAAAATGATGCATGGAAGTCAGACTAATACATTACACTGAAACCCCTCAAATTTTGGACAGCTGTAAACCATGAAGGTGTTGACCATGTACCTCAAAGCAGCTTCAGGAGAGTGATCTGGTTTGGAGCCAAGGTAATGTCAACTGTGTCCCTACCCTCCAGAAAAGATGACATAGCAAACATTCATCCCAGCTTAAAACTGCTATCTCAACTATTGCAATATTAACTCTTAGGGCACCTGCACCCAAACTGAGCCCAAACTGCCTTTTCCTGTTGCAGCAGCTGGGCAGCACTTTTCTGGAGCAGCACATCCTTGGCAGTAACAATTTTGGCAGGGGAATGTTTAACTCTTCCCTGTGTGCTGATTCACATACCACATCCTCCATGGCTGTTTCAACAAAAAGAATATAAAATGGGCAGCTCACCATTTGGAAGTCTAAATTACATGTAATTTGAAAGATGCTAGACTGAAGTTGAATGTATGATGCTACTGCATCAAATTAGACAAAATGACACAGTAGTATCCCAGAGCTGTTGGCTACTGTAAACAGTGCTAGCATGAAAATAAGTAAATTGTGCCATACTCTTTTCATGACTACTACCTGCTGATGCTACTACTACTAAATAACAATTACTTAGCTTGAACAATATGCAACACGCTGTTCAGAAAAAAGTAATAGTCCCTGGTACAGACTTTGTAAGTGCTATTTAAAGTCAGTAAACAATAAGCCAGGTCTAGATATGACATACAGTAAATTCACCTTTACAACTTTGGTTAAAAATAACAGCAGAGTCATAGTACTTCTAAAACATATTTAATATTACAAACATTCTCACCTTAAAAATGTATTTCACATGAACATAATCAAAAGGGATATCAAGTTTACTAAGCAATTCCAAGGTACTTTCAAAATTAATCTTTCCTTTTCTAAATGTGTCATGGATGTTGCTTAAAAACCACGTACATGAAAAGTTAGTTAAGAAAATCAGCCATCAGCCATTTCTTTCTAATGCTTGAGTTCTATTTGTGAGTCATGCACATAACCAACCAACCGACCTCCACTAAGACATTTCAAATATTGTTTTATTGTCAAAATCAGCAATTTAAATATCATTTTAGAGTTTTCACCTAAGGATGATCTAACACACCTTGAAACTTTTTTTTTTTTTTTGTAATTTTAAGGCATGATATATACTTGAAATAAGTGGGAGGAGGGAAAACCCATGGAAAGAGGAAAGCAAGGGGAGTGAATATGAAAAAAATCAACTGGGGCTTAATGATCACCCCCCCCCCCCCCCGCAACTAAGACACTCAAAAATCCACTTGTTCAGGGGCTCCGTTGTAGACATGGGAGGCACATTTCCTTCAGGAAAATTTTACCCTGCTGTATATAGTCACGCCCCTACGTAATTGTTTCCCTATTATCTTTCCAAACGTTCAGCTGCAAACTTTTTGGTGCATGACCTTTGTGGCCTTTGCAGGGGGGGTGACTCTCTAATGCACTGATGACATTATTTAAATTTGTAACAATTCATTTTCATAATAGCGGCACCATGCACTTCCACAAAAAGCAGCTAGCTCTGGGCTGCATATGCAGTGTTAGTACCATAATTTCTCTATTATTTAAAATGAATTAGCATTATTATCAAGGAAGCAAAGTGCTAGTGAGGAAAAGAGAGCAGCTTTACTGAGAAAAATAAAACAAGTCCTAGGTATTTCTAACATTAAATAACATGCAGTAATTACTGCACCTTTTCTATGGTGATGGAAACCCTACTGGCCCAAGATCAGTTTGTCTTGTGCTCCAGATGCTCTTTTGCAGAATGGAACTGCTCCTCCTTCTACTCTGCCTGTTGAGCAGTTTGGCGACTGCACCTTCACTGTGCTAAGTCCTATTTGCTCTTTCACAGTGGAGGCTGCTGCTGGCTCCAATGACAACAGGACAGACCTTTCATTCCGAGTTTTAGATTGATCTTTGAAGGGACTAGGCATAATGCAAAACCCTAACCCCAATAACCGGTTCCAGCACCATGGATAGCTCCTACCGAGTTTTGTGTGAGACGCGGAGCGGTTCTACCACCCCACTGTGAGTACATCGACACTGGGGCCGCCAGGCATTCTCTGTGCCATTGCTATGGGAATCTGAAAGACGTTTTGTACTTCAGCTTCCTTTACCTCCAGCCTCAACCGACCGCGCCTCCCCCAACACTGCTCAATCCAGTCCAACACATTCGGACGACACCAGACTGGGAGAGGCCGACCTGCCTCTTCTGCCCCCACCGCTTGCAGGCGGGATGAGGCGAGAAGGATATCTGGCTTCCATGGTGGCAGCTCCTCATGGCCTCTTGCGCCTACGCCCCGGTGGTCTCAGCAGCGCCCTGCGCGGCATACTTCTTGGGCGGGCCAAGGCTTAGGGGTACCAGCCCTACACCTGGCACTCCTTCCCGCCGCCGCCGCAGCCCGAACCCCACTCCGCATCCGCATCCGTCCGTGGGAGCGGCACGACAGGCCGAGTAGGGCGAGGCGGCGAGGCGCCACAAGCCCGCCCGGCGACGACCGCCCGGCCGGCACGCGGGCTCTGTGGCGTCACGAGGCGCCGTTCTCTGCCAACGGTTCTCCCGCGCGCGTCGCCGTCTGATGGACGGCTCCGGTTCACCACTCCTCTATCACTTCCCTCCTCGCTCCTCCTATCTGGCGCCGGACCGTCCCGTCAGCCCCGCCCACTCACGCGCTCCCTCCCCCTCTCTTTTTTTTTTTTTAAAGGCCGGCTCTGAAAGGCGGGAAAGGAGTCGACGGCTGAGCTCCCTTCCCGCCGCTCAGTGTTATTCCCTCAGTTCCCGCTACAGGATGTAGTAGCAGCAGTACGCACGGTTTCAAAAAAGTACACGTTGAAAACAAACATTCACTAATGAGTAAATCGATAAAAAGGAGCGAGGCAGTTCTTTCTTCCCCGCCTTGATGCCCAATATCACCAGAATGTCAACTCGGATTCGTTGCCTGAACGCGGCCGTTAAAATGAGAGAGGGAATCCTGTCGAGGTGCAAGGCAAAGGAGCAGGAAATGGGGTGTTTTGAACCTAATCCTGTAGGTCGCCTCATTGTCACCCGACCGGGAGCAGCGTTTTGGTCACCACCCCTAAAAGGTGCTGTAGAGTGGGGCAAAATGCAGAAAAGGGCAGCTAAAAGGTTCTAGGGGGGCAGCTCTCTTAGGAGGAAAAGTTACAGCAGCTGGGAATGTATCCCTTCCTTTTTATACATGTCAGAACAAATGATCCTACCAAGCAGAGCCTTGAAGAAAACACGGCAGACTTTAAAGCTTTAGGAAGAGTCAAGAACTGTGGGGCCTAGGATTTTCTGGAAGGATTTTCTCTTTAACCCCTCCAGTTCTTGGAAAAAGAATAGACAGGGAAAGGAAAATTCTTCAAGTGGATGCCTGGCTTTGAAGATGGTTCCAACATGAGAGATGGGACCATGGGCTGTACTTCCTGGAAGTTGGACTGATGGCAAGGGATGGGTTGCACCTTACAAAGACTGGAAAAAATATGTTTGGTCCCAGCATGAAGTTTATCAGGAGTTTAAACTGAATCCTACAGGGGAGGGAGAAGTACACCTGGGCATAACAGACAAAGGCTTATGCTCTACAACAGAGTCCAATAATAATCTTACAAAAAAGTAAGAAAGTGTATAGATCATAAAGCATTCGTTTTTATTGTTTATATGCCAATGTCCAGAGTACAGGATACAAACAGCATGAACTTGAACTCTTAATACAAGAGGATGAATATGACCTAATAGGTATAATTAAAACTTTATAGAATGACACCCATGGCTGGAATTCAACAACTGAAGGATATAACCTATTCAAGAGGAACAGAGGGAACAGAAATGGAGGCAGAGTTGTATTTTACATTAAAGATGCATATCCTTGCAAAGGAATACAGAAGAATGACCTTAGTATCTCCATCAACAGCATCTGGATTAATATAAATGGAGCAAGGAATAAAAGGAACACAGTGATTGTAGTCGATTACTGACCACCCAGTCAAGGAAGATGGGTGGATGAAACTTTTGAAAAGCAAATTTCCAGTGTTCAAGAAGGCATGATGTTGAATTTGGAGCCCTGCACTAAGCAGGAGGTTGGACCTGATGGCCCTCCAGCCCCTTTCAACTCTACAATTATTCTACAATTCTGTAATATCTATGCAAATCTTTCAGCTTTGGTTCCAAAAATATGTTTGGTAGCTGATTCAAGGGGCAACAACAGTTTGCACCAACTGTTAATTCACAAGAACACTGGAACACAGAGACCTTCTTGTGAAAAGGAAAACAAGAACAGTGTTTGTGAGTTTCTGACATCCTCATAAAAGCATTTTTTTCTATTTTTCCCTCTACAGCTATTGGACTTTCTGTCAATAATAGCACATTTCCTTCAGGGGATATTGCTAAGGGGAAAGCACAGACATGAAACAAAAAGATGACTTCGCAAGACCTTCCTTTAAATATCTGCTTGTTAGCACATAATAAGAAACATAATGAAATTTTCATATGCTCTTGGTTTCCTTAGTCTTTTGTGTACTATGCCCAGAAGAACACATATTCCCACAGCTGCTGACTAAATGTCTGAAATAAAATGTATAAAATAAAACTAATAGAAGCAGTCTGACTTTAAAAAAAAAAGAACCTGATGCTGCACTTTGCAAGATCAAATTTAGTTGTGCCCGAAAATTAGATTCAAAGTAACAGAGAAGAAACTCAGAAAATAGGAAAACAGCTAAATAATTGTTAGCATAAAATCTCTTTCTCTAACACACACACACTTTTTTTCTTCTTTTATTTTCTTTGCATTACCTCTAGACGGTATGAAAGTCTTTGAAGCTGCAGTCTCAGATAAATGCAGTCCCACTTACCCATGCATTAACTCATTGAACACAGTGGGCTTACTTCTGAATAAACAAAACAAGGATTGCAACTGGTGAAGGTGTATGTGTTGACTACATTGGTTCCTTCTGGCAAAACCACTTCAAGGGCACGATCAAAATATCTATTAATAGGCTGATCCCTATCTAGAGTTCACTCTTTTTCAAAATTTCCTCCTCCTTCTAGGATATCTTACCGCATTAGGTTAGAATCTAAAGTACTAGAAGGAGTTCAGAAAACCTATGGAGTCCAGGGCTGTGTACTAAAGACTATTTTTGTCAGGCAACTTTTTCCAGATCTCAAGCACAGTTCCCCCTGCAAAAAGGTCTCATGAGATTGATTGGGTGTGTTGTTGTTGTTGCTGTTGCTGTTGTTATGTGCCTTCAAGTCATCTCTAACTGATGGGGATCCTATGAATGAAAGTCCTCCAGAATGCCCTGTCCATGACAACTCCATCCAGCTCTCCCAAGTTCAAGTTTGTAACTTGCTTTATAGTGTCCATCCATCTCTTATTTGGCCTTCACTTTTCAACTTCTGCCTTCTACTTTCCCTAACATGATTGTCATCTGCAAGGAGTCTTGCCTTTTCATGATAGGCCCAAAGTATGAAAGCCTCCGTTTTGTCATTTTTGCTTCTAGTGAAAGCTCTGGCATGATTTGATCTAGAACCCACTTGTTTGTCTTACTGTCAGCCCAGGAAACTCTCCTCCAGTACCATGTCTCAAATGCATCCATTTTCTCCCTGCCAGCTTTCTTCACTGTCCAGCTTTCACTCCCATACAGTATGATTGGGAATGTAATGGTTTGGGTGATCTTGACCTTGGTCTGCAGTAAAATGTCCTTACACTTGATGGGTGTCCTTTGGCTTCTTTAAATCCCTTTGTTTAAGTTCTTTTCATTTCTGACTGCCTGGTTTGTATTCATGGCCAGGAGTAATATAGCGTGCATATATATTCAGCATGCACAAGTGAGAGATGCTTGTTTGCCATCTTCATAACTTGTAATTGCATCTATTTTCCCTAGTTCCATAACAATCAG